TAATATTTATAATTCATTCTCTTTACTTAAGTTTAATCGTCCCTCTCCCAACATCATATGCTTATAGTGATTCTCAGTGAAACCCACTATTCAGAATCGCTGTAACAATATTTATATTCTTATATTTGATAATTTTAATATTAATATAGTATCTTATTAATATATTTATTTAATTAATTACTAATTAATAATTTTTTTGATTAATTAATATAAAAAAAAAGATAAAATTAATTTTATTACATATATGGAAAAAAGTTAGTAAAAAAGAAATAAATTAATTTTTTTCAAAAATGAGTTTTGTATCTAATATATAATATAAATATATAAATTATATTTTGTATAATTATGAACACTTATTTTCATAATAAAAAAATTAGATCTGATCTTTCAAAGTTTTTATTTTATATAGATCAATTAATAATAATCAAAATTAAAAATTTAATTATCAGAAAATTATAAATTTATTAATTTATCTCTTTTTTATTGATTTTATCTCATATATTTAGAATTAAATATTAATTCAGATATTTTTTGATAAGTACAAAAGAAAAATTTTAAGTATAATCAAAAATTCATATATTTTATATTAATTATACTTAACAAAATCTATAAAAGTTTAAAATATTAATATTATTAATATAATAAGTTTTAATATTATAATTTTTTTTATTTTATTTTCTTAAAATCAAAGTAAAAAGAAAATTATTAGTGAATTTTTATTTATATTGCTTATATTTTTGAAAATATTCTAAAGTTTCAAATTATTATAACTAATTAAAAATTAATATTAATATATGCTATACAAATTATATTTTTTAAATTGCAAAATCTTTTATATATTTGATATATTAAAAAAATATGCTGATCAACTATTAATATTATTTTTTATAGATAAAGAATAAATTATATTTTTGAAAAGCTGAATTAATCTTACAAGATCCAAAATAAAAATTAACTTTAATAAATAGTAAAAAGAAATAGTAAAAAAATACAATAAAAAGTTATTAATTATTATATATTTGCATAATATATAATTATTATTTAAGATATATTTTGTAAGTTTATTTCTAAATAATATAATAATATCATAAGTAAAAGAATTTCATGCAATATATTCAAGTATCAGTAAGTAATCTTTATACTGTTTATAAAAAAATCTTTTTTGTATTAAAGAATTAACATCAAAAAATTTAAATTATAATTTTTCAGAAAAAAATCTGAATTTTTTAAGTTCAAAACAATTTATTTTATATACAAATTGTTATTAAAGTATTTATATTAAAAAAAGATTTATAAATAATTCTTGAAGATATCTAATTTAACTCCAAAAAATTTGCTAAAATTTTGTAGTAATATCTTTTAATTCAAAAATATTTTATTAAAACTATTGTTTGTAACTTACTAACTTTTACCAATATTGATGAATTTAAAAATGCCAATTATCATAATAAAGATCAACTGAAATTAAAAATTCTTTGAAATAGCAATAGTAAAATTATAGCTAGCAATTTAACTTTTTGCCAGCACATCAAAATACAGTTTTAGAAAATGTCTAAAGCCTGGTTTATTATATAATATATAATTATATAATTATATAATTAAAAGATTGATTTTAAGTTTAGAATTAGGATTAGAATTAGAGTTATAATCAAGATTATATATAAAATTGCCTTCCTAATATTTTATCTAGATTTAAGTATTTGTTTTCCATTATTTTTCATGTTTATGTCCACACTTTGAATTTGTTTTGCCGAATTGATTAAAAATTTATACATTCTTTATTGGTTTGTATTTCAGATTGATTATTAGATAGACCAGACTTTAGACATGTTCCAGTCCTAAATAAAATGTTGAGCCTATTTCAAGAGTTAATTATAGTTATACAAAAATCCACAAGTGCAATACTTAAAAGAACATCCAGTTGGAGCAAAAAATGCTATTTCACCTTTCATTGAAAGAGATCTGTCCATCTTTAAGTTGACTGAACTGGGAAAGCATATTAGAAAATGTGATATATGTTACAAATCGAGCACAATAGCAGAACATGTCCTGATGTGAAGGATACAACAAAAGATAATTAGACTTGTTGAAAGAAAAAAAATTAATCGTGACAATATTTCTGTTTTAGTAAGATAATTTATAACTTTCATAATCTATGTAAACAGCTTGAACAAAAAAAAACATGAACTTTTACAACAATTATCATTGGCAATTGCAGATAAATGCATTAAAATAAAGTCTATTGTGTTGTAAATAAAGTAATATCAAATTCAAACATAAATTAAATTTGACACAAATGTTAACATTCGGCAATTCCAAGTCACATGATATAGCTATGGTGGAAATAGCAAATTAGCATGGTTACCAAAATTTGATTATCACACAACATCTCTACGTATCAATTTTAACGTGATATGCTGATCGCTAATGCAAAACTACATTGATAGTCATTATGATTGAATTACGTAAGTATACGTACATACATGTATTACATGTTTCAAGATCCTGTTCTATTGATATTCACACAACATACCGATACGCATCAGATAATGGATGTATCACCAGTATTCTACAAGCGTATCCAAGAATTCTATCTTCGAGAATTTGATTGTAATGTATTGGTTACTGTCGGCCAAGAACCAAACAGGAGAACGTTCCGGGCACATTCTGGATTCCTGAAAGCAAGCTCGAGATATTTCAGAGCTGCGTTTTCCGGCGATTGGATCCGAACAGACCAAGATGGAAATATTTTGTTCGAGAAACCAAATATTAAACCGGTTGTTTTTCAAGTTATATTAGAGTGAGTTTTTTATTTCTAGTTTTTTTTGTTTTAGTTTAACAACGAAATTAATCTCGAATTTTGCAAAAAAAATTGCAGCTATCTCTATCTTGATCAATTATTTGAAGTTGTGCGAATGCCTGAATTGGATTTACTTGAATTGCTAGTTGCCGCTGATGAACTTGAATTGGTTGATTTGTGTAGTCGCATTGAGACTAGGATCATTCAAGAAGAGCGACCATGGTTACGAGAAAATCTTCAACGTGTATATAGCACAGTATTCGATCAAGAGCAATGGTACAAACTTCAGAAAAGATGTGAACTAGAAATGAGAATGAACCCAAGTCTTATCTTCAAAGGAGCCGAATTCACAAAATTACGAAGCGACCAACTTTTACAAATTGTGACGTTTGACGATCTCGACATGGACGAAATCGAAATTTTCGAAAGTCTAATTAAATGGGCCACCTCACAACACTCAGAGCTCGAAACAATCGCCGTCCAATTATGGTCCGCGCAAAATTTCGAAACCGTTAGACGCACAATAATCGAACACCTTGGACACATTAGATTCTACGGGATCCCGTCCGACAAGTACTGGACCCGAGTTCTGCCCTACAAGAAACTCGTTCCGAAAGAACTACGTCAGGATATTGCACGTTTGAAGTTTCTCCCTGGTGCGAGACCTAAATTTCGCAACTTGCCAGCGCGCAAGAAATCTAAACCTTCGGGCTTCATTTTGAACAGAGATAATTATTATGAGAGCGATGCGTTTATGAGAAGCGAAGAGGAATCTTTTTATGACAGTGAGCAAAGTGATACGCTTTATGGTTCTACTCTAGCTGAAGTGAATTACTTTTTTTGATGGTGTCCTTGTATATGTATGTATATATAGGTATGTCGCCCGATGTACGGTTCGATCTTATGTAAAAGATAAAAAGGAGCGCTTGGAGCTATTTGTTCATTGCTGAAATCAATTAATTATAGGTCAGAATGAAGAACACTTTCATTTATTCTATAATCTTTTCTTGCATATTTTCATCTATCTCAATTTTTACATGTACAATAAAATTGTGGGTTTAAGCAATCATTTGGTTTTAAAATACATGTATACCGATACATTGTGCGATATACATGTAATAACGATAATGATAGCGATAGGAATTAATCCCTTATCGTTATCGTTATAGTTATCGTTATCGTTATCGTTATCGTTATAGTTATCGTTATCGTTATGTGAGAGTCAAATCAGATCGTGTGATACGTTAGACAATTCTGAACTAATAAACTGCGTTCAAATTATTACATGTATAACGATAATAATTTCATATACATATACATGTATTTTAACTTTATATCGTCGATCATCCAAGTACATAATAACAAAAATAATAAAATCACAATAATTACGACAAAGTCAAACACACCACATACAACACACAAATACAAAATAATAAAATGACTGGTTTACTCGTTGAACTACTACAAGAAATACTAAAATATATAGAAGACGACATCTCATCGATATTTTCATGTCTTTTGGTAGATCGATTTTGGTGTCGTCAAGCTGTTCGGGTGTTATGGAAGAGACCATTTACATTTCTGAAATACGATAGAGATGCTATTGCAATTATCACTACTTGGCTGGCGTGCTTGAGTGAGGAAGATAAACGTCTACTAAGGGAAAAAGATGTCCCGTTGAAATTAACGGCATCCACAACTTTATTCAATTATCCAATGTTTTTACAGGAATTGAATTTCGGACTTTTGGACGATGCTGTTGGGAAATGGGTTAATGCCTGTGCATCTTCGGCTCTTTCCAGGCGACGAGATATGGTTAACAAATGGCGGATTACAACTAGTCTATGCAATTTTATTTTTCTTCATGCTGAAACTCTCACAACTATTAATATCACAAAATTTCAAGATACGACAGATGTCCCGAACTTCACTAAATTCCCAAGAGCTTTCTCGATAATTCCTCAGCTTAAAGAAATTGGATTCTGGGGTACAAAAGAGGCAATCACGTTAGGTGATTTAGCAAATATTAGAAATTTTCTACTTGGTGTCCATGCTCATAGTCCACCGCTCTCATGTCTTCATCTTCGAAATGATCTCGTAGATGTGGAGACACAAAAACTGACTTCGGGTATAGTTGAATCACAACACGGACTAACAGAGTTCAAATTCAAAGGAAGTTGTGATTATTCTAATGTGGCTTTATTGAAATTGTCCACTGATAAACTTTCGAAATTGGAATTCTATCAGATTGATCTAAATAACTCAATTGTGGAAGCTTTCTCTGCGTGTCCAAATCTCTCCAGTTTGACTTTTATCTCGTGCACGAATTGTTCAAACGAAATGTGGGGACCGGTCCTGAATTCGACGCTTAAACTTCGGCAACTTTATTTCCATCAACCAAATCGAAATAGCGGTAATACGGATATGGCACCATTGATACAATCGGCAGGTGTGAGTTTGGAATTCTTGGTACTTGGACAAGATTACTCAACGTCTGTGTTCGAAACAATACAAGAATGTTGTCCAAACATAACAGCACTATCAATAACACAAACAAAGGATAGTGTCTCCACGATTTTCCCAGCTATAACAAGTTGCAAAAATCTTTGTCAGTTATCGCTACGAGTGGAACATTGGGAAGGATTCGCCAGCGATGTGATTCTAAATGATCTTGCAAATTCAATTCCATCTGAGCTCGTTGCTCTGAATCTGGATCTCCCCATAACGCCCGAACAATTATCCACGTTTCTAATGAATATTAAATCGCCACTTGCAAGACTAGGTCTCGTCAATAAACGGACATTAACAGATGAACATCTTTCTGTGATCACGGAATTCGCAAAGACACGAGGTACACTAAAGAAAATTGGATTTGGTGGACTTTACAAATTGTGGTTTCAGTTCGATCAAGCAAGAGTACTCGAGGCAAAGAAATATGTGGATTTTGTTCAAAATATTTGGTTTGATATGTACGCGGAAAGGTTGGAGGCAGAATTTAAGGTTTTTCCCGATTTTTATCAAGTTAGTTAACAAAATCATGCTACAGTTCATATATATTGATATTTGTTTTTTATATTCTTTTAAAGGTACCTCAATATGGCGGACTCAGTTGGCACTAAGCTGCTGTTACATTATTTTAATATTAGCGTAAAAATAGTAAATTATTTTATCACCATACACTTTAATTGTTTTTTCGCGGTATAATTTTATAATATTTTTGGCATTGTAGTAATATTTATACCTAGAAGAAACTATGATTATATGTATTTTCGAAATTTTAGACATACGTATATACAAACAATACCAACCCTTTGTGCAATTTTTATTTCAGAATTATAAAGATTTCTTAGCTTGCCGATGTTGAATCAAAAATTCAGCAGCAAGAAGTAATTCAAACCAAGATTGAATCAATAAAAACATGGGGACAAGAACCCAAAGACCATTAAATAACTACAACAAAATTCCAATAAAAAATTTTTACCAAAAAACAAAACCAAAAATTTGAATCGAAAGAAGGATTATGCATACATACCACCATGTAAACCCATAGGTAAAGAGGATTATCAGTGGCAAGAGACTTATTTCCGGTCAAATATTCCGGCATCCAAGTTAAATATCCTCCATACAATTCACAAGTACATAAAAGGAATTGTAGTGGGTGTCTAATGGGGTGGTCTTTTATAATTGCCCATAGTACTAGTACGGAAAGTGGACCGCATACTATAAATGTGGGGATTTCTATTGAGACTACTGTCGGTTCGGCGATTAACCACCTTGAATCGGCTTTTCCATATTCTTTCCCTATACAGGCAGGACAGGAATATATATATAAGATTATAAATAAAGATTAAAATTCACCAAAGATGATATTTACATAATTCAGCCATTCGACCAGAACTAGTCTCCACTGTCCGTCCTAAAACGGACATATATACAAATGATCCCTCCAGAATAAAATGCACTAACGCATCCCACGTTAACCACGCAAACACATATTTCTCTGATGTCTTGAATTTCTCACGCGATAGAAATCCATATGCTGCGACAAATGACACGGTGATTAGCAGCAATGTGAATAAAAGTGAATAGATTGCTGTTGGTTCTTGTAATTCTGCTGGGATTAATGACATGATTGGATTGTTTGAGTGTGAAAAATATTTTATTGTTTGTATTAAACCACATGCATGTTGTGTTCGATTATTTAATCAAAATTCGAGCCAGTGTTTTGAATGATTACATGTACTTAAAATCCGCTATTCCATTTATGCAGAACAATCAGAACAATGATCATTTTCCATTTTTCGTGGTGATAACGATAAATAACTGCGCCCCTTGGATTACTAATTTTCCGCAGTTTATAAATAACGATAAGACCCGCTGTTCTCTCAAACAAACCGGTTATCCCTTTTTTGTAAATTCTACTTACGTACACTGTATAAAATCAGAACCTAATCAACCCCCAAAAAAATTAGATCAGATTAAGCTTTTGTGTATAAATAAGTGTCGATAATAAAACTCGACCAAATTATCTACAGAAGAAACTCGAAATAAAATTATGAGTGAAAGGCAAACAAGTGATCAACAAGATTTATTACCTTCTCGTACAACTGCTGCAAGTAGTGGAAATACTAATAACAGTAACAATACCACACAAAATACGAGCGAGAATAATTTTAATAATAACAATACCCGATCATTTGGTGGAACTGCTTCTTTTCGAGGATATAGAAGAGGTGGTCGTGCACGTGGCCGTGGTAATAATTTTCGTGGACGAGGCGGCAACGGTGGACATCGATCGTTGTCGAATTCACGAATATTAAATGAAAACAATAATATCGAAAACGATCCTGGTAGCATAAATAGCTCTCAAGAAAATAATAACATTCGTAATAACAGTCGTAATAACAGTAATAATAACAGGAATGGTAGTGTAGCTTTTCGTCGAAATAACAAGCCATCACATAATTCAGATGAACAATCGAGATCTCGCAGAAATAGGGACAATGTAGAGCGTTCTCAGCAACAAGCAGAGAACGCGGAATCCAACGATCCAGCAGCAAGTTCGAATATTTCTAATTCTTCTACAGGTGACTTGTCTAAATTTGGACAACAAAAAAATACGCAAGAGATTTCGCAGAGTGACCATACAGAACAAGAACAGCCAGAAACTAGCTCAAATCATAATAATAGCAATAATAGTCGCCCGCGATATCGACGACGAAATAACCAGACAAGAAACAATAGAATAGAATCTGCGAATTCAGAAGCAGTTGGCGGACAACAATTATCTGCCAATGTCAAGGGAAAAGCCCGTGAGGTTCAATCATCCTCATCGAATGATTTCGCTTCAAATTCTAAAAGTTCACGACCGAAATATAAGTATCTTGGTTCTCACTCAAAACGGGCAACAATAATGCAAATGTCACAAAATGAAATCACTGATGTTCTTACGTCAATTACACACGGCCTTACAACTTCCACTTATGAGTGTGTGATCTGTTTCGAATTTATTCGCCTGAGCCATCGAACTTGGTCTTGTAATGTGTGTTGGGTGGTACTTCATTTGCATTGTACGGAAAAATGGGCGAAGAAATCGATTACAGAAAGTAAAAATACCGATAATATATGGGGTTGTCCAGGATGTAGAAGTGATTATTATTTCATTCCTCGTGAATATTGGTGTTTTTGCGGTAAGTTTATTTCTTATTAATAGTTAATTTTCTCGAATATATTCTAAATTTATAATATATTTAGGAAAAACGCGCGATCCCGAGATTAATCGGTATCTAACACCACACACATGTGGTCAAATCTGCAAAAAATCCAGAGATTGTCCACACGATTGCACATTGCAATGTCATCCAGGACCGTGTCCACCATGTAGTGCAATGGGACCAAAGACAACTTGCTGGTGTGGTCTTCAAACTTTTCAAAAACGTTGTGTTGATACTGATTACACCGAAAAATTATCTTGTGGTGAAAAATGTGGTCAGGTTTTAGAATGTGGCTCGCATTATTGTCAAAGACCATGTCATGGTGATCCCTGTAATACATGCACTGAAATAGAGACGCAGTTGTGTTATTGTGGAAAGAATGAACGTGTAGCTAATTGTGGCGACGGAAACGTCTTTAGAAGTACGTCCAATCGCGAAGGTGACCGTGAATATTGGATTGGTCATTTCGAATGTGAAACATTATGCGATGGGTAGGAAATCTATTTACAATTGCATATTTTTTTATATATAAATTATGGTTGAGACTAATGAGTTTCTTTGTAGGCTCTTGGAATGTGGAAAACATCGCTGTGAACGGATTTGTCATCCAGTTGATAGAAAACTGGAATCTTGTCCATACGATCCATCAAGGGTTGAGACATGTCCATGTGGCGAAAATTCAATCATTTCATTGCTCGGACAACAACGTACATCATGCACAGATGAGATTCCAACTTGTAATAATAAATGTCCGAAATTACTACAATGCGGTCATGCTTGTCAATATAATTGCCATCAAGGGGGATGTTCAACTTGTGAAGTGATACTGCAAGTCCAGTGTCGATGTGGTAGTACAACATTTCAACGAAAATGTTCAGAAATAAATCGAGAAAGTGACGAATTACCGACTTGCGATAAAATCTGTCAGGGACTTCGTAGCTGTGGTAAACATCGATGCAATGTTCGTTGCTGTCCTTCGGCCAACAAACCACGGAAGAAAATTATGTTTGGTCAAGAGCCAGAAGAAGAGGATGAAAATCATCGATGTACCTTTGTATGTGATAAAAAACTTAAATGTGGCAATCATAATTGTCAATTGCCATGCCATCGTGGTCACTGTTTGCCATGTTTAGAGGCGTCGTTTGAAGAATTGACATGTCATTGTGGTAGAACAAAAGTGTTTCCGCCAATATCATGTGGGATGACGATACCGCCTTGCCCTTATACTTGTATACGAGAGCCTCCTTGTGGACATGCTGGAGTGACTCATCCTTGTCATACAGATTCTCAAACATGTCCTCCGTGCCCTTACTTTGTTGAAAAAATGTGCATGTGTGGTCGATCAGCGATAAAAAACGTTCCTTGTCATAAATCGAATGTCAGTTGTGGTCGAATCTGCGATCGTATCGCACCATGTGGAGGTCATCGATGCAAACGTACTTGCCATTCTGGAGATTGTCTCACCAACGAACAGGGCGTCACTGGTAAATGCACACAACCATGCGGGAAACCTCGAAATATTTGCGGCCATCCTTGCACTGCTCTTTGTCACGCACCTGCCAGATGTCCAGAAGATATACCTTGTCAACAAAAAATTACGCTCTCTTGCAAATGTGGAAATTTAAAACAAGATGTCACATGTTTTATGAGTTCTCACAATTCAACAGAAAATAAAAATCGTGTGCTCCAATGTACCGATTATTGTGCTATGTTAGAAAGAAATAGACGATTGGCTCAAGCATTAGAAATTGAGACGGGTGAAGGTTCCGGCTTGAAATATGTTCCTAAATATCCCGAGGATCTTCTCAAATACTATACAGCTCATAAGGATTGGGCGAAAAACATTGAAACTCAAATAAATGAATTTATGAAATCAGAGTAATTTTTTCAATCGAATTGTAAGAAATGCGTTACTTCGTAAATAAGCTTTACTGATATTGATTTTTATTTATAGTAAACAAACTTTGGATCTTAAGCCAATGAAAGCACCTCATCGACAATTTATACACGAATTATGTGCAGTCTATAGACTACACTCTGAAAGCTTTGACGAAGAACCTTACCGAAGCGTATACATTAAAAAGAAGATTGACTCTATAATGCAAGTAAATTTATTGGTTTATTAATATAATGATTGATTGATATTTAGATCTTAATTTAACTATATTCATGTTATCATAATAGACCTCCGCTCACTCTCGCTCAGACAGTGGCAAATAATGTGTCTGCAAGTGGAAGCTCAACTTTACCCTCTACAATATCTCCTTCTGCCTCCTCTTCAGCGCTTGAACAACTCGTCCGTAAACCAAAACAGCCTGTCAACGGACTTTACCTTGCTGAATTAGAATTTGGGATCACCCGTGAAGAACTACAAAAAGAAATTGAACCAATCATGGGTCGATTCAAATTCGTGGTTAAATGGGTGGCTGAAGAAGACGCCGTGATAATGCCATTCGTTGGTTCAATGCAAATGGACGAACTTGAAATACTGTTGATGCGTCTCAAATATTCGGCAAAAGATGCTCTTGTACCAAAAGCTATATGTGCATGGGTTGAACTTTGTTGGGTCAACTCTAAATTCGAAGTTGTTTGGCGTGAGCGTGGAAAACTTATCAATAATCTTGGAAACGTCAGTGGATTAGGATCTGGAAGCGATGCCGAGGCAAAATCACCTCTCGTTATGATGCCTTCTAGACCCCCGATTGGTAATACAAATCCATTCGAAATTCTTTCATCAGAGAATAACAGTTCTGCAAACTTGAAGCAAGCTACACCGCGACCTTTGTCGAATGTTTGGATGTCTAGACGTCAGCAACATCAGCAATCGGTGGCTCCTTCGTCTTCGAGTTCTCGTCAAGTAAAACCATCACAAAATTATTCCAAAGGCTTTTTTGCTGGAAGTGAAGATGATGTTCCTGATGATTGGGAAATGTTGAGTGATGGTTCGTTGTAATTTAATTTGTTCTACTTAGTCAATACACATCTTTGTAATATATTACTTTTAATTGATATTAGTTTAATAAATAACTAAATTGTTACTTACATTTATTAGTATAATGGCAGTTATCGTTATCATTATATTTTTTTAGCATTTACATTTAAGCAATTTCCCGAATTGCTTACCTACAATAGGATTTTGCTAAAGTTTAAGAACGACCAAAACATTAATTTAAAAATATAAAGAACCTTGTTCTTCAAGCAAAGAAACTGTTATAATATCGATATTATTTTTTCTCTTAATGTTAATAATCATAATATACATGTAGTTATTTGTTGGGTTTTAAAGAAACTGGTAGCAAGACCAGAAAAGAGCAGTCATTTCAAAAGCTAGTTTTTTTCTCTTCTCAATATCGATATCTTTTTATTCATATTCAGCGGTTACATTAATAAATAGTTTATTTAAAACAGTCGACTCTCTTTATAATAGTGCGTTCAATTAGAGAAAAATTTTCAGTAATTAGTCTTTACTATAACAAACTTTATTATACATGTAAAGTCAACTGTATATTTTTCGTTAAAACTCTATCATAAAATGAATTCTTTGAAGCAAGACAAGAAATTAAAAACATACACATATTAATATGCGTGAACGTTAGTTAACGATAATAAAAGATCAGCATATACATGTAATTGGTTGATCCTTAATTAACGTTAAACCGTTGAATATAAATGCAAAATTCATTACCATCTCCCAGTTGCTCGCCCATCTAACCGTTAGTTAACAGACTTATGCGTTCTAAAAAAAATAAATTGCTAGCAAACGCTACAACTACAAATATATATATAGTAAGCAGTTAACAGGCAACAGCAGTGAATAAGGAGCTTCAGTTATTCTCTGTTAGGCCAAAAAAGTCCGAAGACACAACTGATAAAAAAATGCGCGAGAACTTACCCACGTCGCCACACTGTTAACTGCAGCGATGGTAGTTAAAGTCTATCGAGAATGAAGTATATAAACGATAAGGTACGAGTATGAACGATAATATCTCGACGTCTGATCCAATTTGAGTGAAAATACTACCATCCGATTTTTCTAAGCTAGACAGGTCAAATGGTGTATTTTGCTCACTAGACGTTGAGATATTATGTCCTAAAGCGAACGATTCATTGTATTTAGTACATGAAAGTTTATAAACATACAAATACACGGAACATTACACATGATCTACGGAAAGTTATGGAGGTAGGTTACTTCTGACGAGCACTGTACATGCGAAAAAAAATTTTTGAAAATACGTATACCGTAAAGTCCCATGAATAAGCAACCCCCTTCTTTAGGTTCAAAATTCTTAAAAAAGTTGAATAAGCACCCCTTTTTATATACTAAAATAAAAAAATTTATATATTATTTATCTGATTCTAATTCTTCAGCAGAACGATCAATAGTAAATTTTTAAAAAACGAGGACCCGATTTTTAGATTGTTTAAATATAATTTGATTTCCACGCGTTATAATTAACAAAGTTACGAAATTTTTTTTTATTTACTTTAATTATCTTTACGAAGAAATCAATTGTATTTTGGTCAATAAATTCGCGATCGAAATTCGTAATAGATATGTGCGCAGTGAATAATTTAACCATTGGACCAATTGACATTAAGTATTTGAATAAGCAACCCCCCTAAAAAACCGATCTCAAATTGATGACGTAGGGGGTTACTTCTAGCCACGACAAAAAAAGTGTCAGATCATGTGATTTAAAATAGATTCATTAAAATATCCAATTCATATTAGATATTAAATACAGTCAAACCCCTCTATAGTTACCACTCTCAGGAAAGCAAAATTTGGTGACTATAAAGAGGATGTGATTATTGAGAGATTTTTTTTTACTATATTTATATATATATTGTGTTCCAAATTATGCCCAAATTAGAATAGAAATATGACCAGAGTTAGGGTAAGAGTTAGAGTTAGTGCTGAAGGATAGGCTATATTTGGTATAGATTTTGATTTAAAATATATTCCAATTGTCAATTGGAACAGATTCTGATTTGGAGTACAATATATAAATGGAAAGCAAAATAAAATACTATAGAGAGATGTGACTATAAATAAGTGTAACTATAGAGATGTTTGACTGTATTAGGATACAGATTAGAGCTGAGATAAAGATTATAAGATAACTATAGATATTGTGATGGATAGGGATATTGTAATAGATTTTTTAAAAAAGATAATTTCATATAGATATTATATAATTATTATATTTTTTATATTTATTAGAGAATTATGATATAACTATAGTATTCATTTGTCATATTATATACTATTTTTGGGATCAATATATAGCAGAAGAAAAATTATTTTTAGTTAGAATTAGTGAATTAAATCTTGTATTACTTTTGTTTATAAGACAATCTTGTATTACTTTTGTTTATAAGACAATCTTGTATTAGCAGATAGTTCCATATTATTAAGTAATCTCATATTATCATGCAATCATGAATTCTCATATTAATTAACTAATTTATCAAATAATTAATAAATAAAATTTATTAAATCATGAAAATGTGTAAATTAATATAAAAATATTTGTTTTGGCTCACCATATATAATACAGTAAATATTTATTAAAAGCTAAGTATAAGAGAGATAAACTAAAAAAACAATCCATATCATATATGCATTATAATAAAAACTTGTTTTTGATTTCTAAAATAAAAAAATGTTAATTAAGTCTAAAAAACAAGAAAAATAACAGAACTACTTATCAAGATATCATTAAAGTTGCACTTAAAGCACTTGATAATTCTGAATGTTCCAATATATATGCAATTATATGAAGATTCAGGATTTTAGAGACAACTCTCAGATATACAATCAAAAAGAATGATTTACTTAAAGATGATCTCCTAAATTATTTTTAGAAAAAATTATATTTTGGCAAATAATTCAGTTTTGCTATATTACTTATATTAATGAATACTTAAAAATCACCTAAAAATGCTTGTTTTGGTCTGTAAAATTCAAAAAATAATTTCAGTTACTAATAAAATAAGTTAAAATAATTTTAGCAAGTTAATTTTAGCAAATTATTTAATTAGATAACATTATTTCAGCAATTATCCTTAGATTTATCCAAATATCCTGGTTCTCTAACAGTTTTGAATAAATATAAAGAAGTATAACTAGTGAATTATTGTTTAAATATGCAAAAGTTGGATTTTGGTTTAATAAGAACAAGAGTAAATCACTACACAATGAAGGTTATATATAGTGATAATTGTGATCATTCTTTTTCTAATAATAAACTCAATCAGGTCTGGTGAGTACTGTTACAAGTTTGTTCACTAATCGTTAAATTAGCTTACAAACGAGAACCTGGGTTGGGAGAGGATATAAACTGA